AGAAGAGATTAACACTGTTTCTTTAAATAATTCATTTTCAATTAGGAAATAAAAACTGAGTACATATATTGTATCCAATATGATGTTTTGAAAAATGTGTACATAGTAAATTAGGTAAATAGAGCTAATTAACATATGCATTCCCTCATATACTTATTATTTGTTGAGGAGAGAGTACTTAAAATGTATCTATCAGCAATTTTCAGGTGTATAATACCTTGTTATTAAATATAGTTACCAAGTTTACAACCCACCCCACACCCACCCATCCAAAGAGCCAGTTCCTTCTCAAACCCTTTACCTTCGATCTCCTCGGGCCGCAACTCCCGGTCCTGAGGGGGCACAGAAGGGTTAGAAATTCCACGCACCTGCCCTCCTCGGGGCTCCCCCCGCCCCGGCCTGCACCCCCAACTCCGCACGCACGCACATGGCCCGTGTCTGTCTGACACTGCTGAAACCTGTTTGCCACCCAGTCCCGCTCACTGGCCCAGGCGACCGGGGTCCCCCCGCCTTGCCACGCGCCCAGGTTTCTCCACCCACACCATCTCCCTCTGTAGGGGCGGAACCCCAGGGTTGGCCCTGCCAGCCTCGATGTCACCATCAATGTCTCTTCTGTCGCTGGACTCATTCTCTGCCCCCACTCCGGGCTCTGCGTGTCTTTGCTCCGATGCCTGTTCCCACTCAATACTCTCTCCCTCCCTTCCCTGTCCCAGCAGAGGCGAAGCGAGGGCACAGGGACAGGCGGGCCGGCGGACGGGTGACCGTACATACGAGCTGGGTGGCCGCGATGCTGGGCCGCAGGAAGATACAGGCGGGCCCCACCAGACTGTTGAGCACCGTGTAGCCTGGGACTCCAGGATCGGGACCCCCCTGCTCCTTGGGGCCGGAGCTGGGCCTGGGGCTGGGCCTGGGGCGGGATCCCCCTGGAGGGGAGCCAGGCCACTGCCGGGGGTCCTGCAGCAGAGCCGGCCATGAGCTGGCGTCCGTCTGCCCCTCCCCACCCCCACTCGCCAGGCGCTCCTGCCTTTGAAACCGGGACAGTGGGGAAGGGGCTCAAGCCGTCTGGGACCCCCAATCATGAACACTTTCGTCTGGACGGGCCCACCCCTACTGTTCAGTTGGGCAAGCCAAGGTCACTGAGAAAGCCAGTGGCAGAGCGAGGCCTTGTGCCCGACCTCTGTGTCTCCCAGGTCAAAGCTGGCCAGCAGAGAGGTCGGACCTGTCGCACAGGTGGGGCGCCCAGATGGACAGTTGTGGGGGCCTGGTGAGCTTGGCATAGGAGACCCAGCGGTCTGTGGGCGCCAAGACCAGAACGGGTGAGAGTCTGGGGGCTTCTGGGAAAAAAAATCTCTACCTGGGACCGTGGGCTGACCAATCCCTCCATCTCTTCACCCACCCTAACCCCAGCCCCACCCTCGCAGGACTCTGCCCACCCCCGTCTGGTCTTTCAGGAAGTCTCCTGGCCTCGTGTTTCCCCTGGTCCCTCCTACCTTGGGCCCCAGGCGCCGGGGCCGCTTGGCACAGTTCCCCATGGGACCCTGAACCATGCCCGGCACGGAGTCCCGGGAGCAGCCCGGGGCTGGACCTCGGCGGCCGCTGCACACTCCTGCCAGCCCCCAGCCGCTCCCAGAGACAGCCTGGGAGCACTGCAGGGGATTTTCCTAGGGTTTTGTGGGGAAGATGGGGCGGGTGGGCAGGCAGGCAGGCGGGGGGCCCTGGGCCCGGGGCTTGGGTCCTAATCCGGGATTATCTCTGAGCATCTCCTCCTCTGGCGAGGGAGGCCTCAGGGCCCAAGGCCCCCCGGAAGCATCCCTGCGCTTCCTCCCCGGGGTCTTCCAGACACCCCCTCGCCAGCACCCTTCTGCCCCCACCCCTGTCCCTAATCTCTCCCAATCAGGAGAGCTTTAATGTCTCCAGAAGCAGGGCCAGGGTCCTGGGAGGAGGAAAGCGGGCACCCCGTGTGCCAGGGCAGGCTGGGTCCTCAGAAGGGCACCCGATTCTGGATGGCGTCAACCCTGCAGACCCTCTCCTGCACCTCCCAGAGAGGCAGCAACTCTCTCTGTCCCTGCCAGGACGCTGCCTGGGCCCTGGGACCTCACCTCAGAGCACTCCCCAGTTTCCGTGCCCTTGACCCCCACCCTGGATCGGCTCCTGCCCCCACCCTGGATCGGCTCCTCCTGCGCGGGGAGCCGAAGGGTGCTTTGAATGCTGGCGAGGGCAGGAGTAGGGAAGGGGCATCGCCCTGGCCTCGCCAACCGGCCGACAGACCCCTTCGTCAGCATGTGTGTTCCAGGTCCCCTCCCTGGGCTAGGCCCTGGGCTTGTCCTCCAGGGGCCCACTGTTAGGGCATGGGGCTGTCCCACCACGGTCCCCTCGCTCTTGAGGACAGCTCCTGCCCCTGCCCCCTTTACCTGGCCGTAGGCTGCTTGCACTTGGGCCTCTAGCTCTCGGAGGAGTGCCCGTCGCCGGGTGGCTGCTGGGCTGGCAGGGGCCTGGCTGGTTCCTGGAGTGCCCTCAGAGGGGCTGGGGTCCCCCGAGGGCAGGCTGCCATCTGCCGGGCCCTGGGGCAGGGCCATGGGGGTGGGGCTTGGCGCCTCCTCCTGGCCGAGGGACGCTGCCCCCGTCCGGCCTTCCTGGTCCTGTGGGAGGGTGGCCTAGTGGGCAGCTGTGGGTATGGTCCCCGGACCCCCACTGCCCTCCTCTCCGTCCCTCCCTTCCTGGGCTGGGAGAGCCTCATGCCCCCAAAGTCCTGTATTGTTCCTAGTTCCCTGCAGCCCTGCCAGCCTAGCAGAGCCTCTCATGCTGTCCACAGACCCCCCCGCCAGCCTCGCCTGACCGTCTTTGCGGCCCCCGTCCTGGCCCTTCCGCCTGGCTTTGGTCTACTTCTCCCCCAAAGGTCTGTCTCCATCTCTGGCTCACGGTCCCCCCGACATCCTCCCTGCTCGGTTTTCGTCTGGCTCTCTCCCCCTCTGCCCCCTCGGCTCTGAGGGTCTCTCTCTCCACCCTGCTCCCCCTGCCGCCATCTATCTCTGTCTGGGTCCAGCAGCGTCTCTGTGGTCTCTGATCCACTCATGGCCGTCTGCGGCCTCCCTCCCTCAGTGGCCCTGGGGCCCCTTCTCTCATCGATCTGTCTTTCGGTCCGTCCTTCCTTGTTCTTCCTATCCTCCCCACCATACCCCCCCTGGCATGGACCCAGAATTCTAGAAAGGCAGCCCCTGCCCGCCCTCCAGAGCCCCAGGTTGTCCCTGTGCTCCCAGCTCCCTGCCTTCTGCCAGCGGCTCCCCCTGGTCCCACGGATCTTCAGGCTCTTGCTTCTCAAGGAAAAAGGGCGGAGGAGGGCTGGGCAGTCCCCGACGGTCCCCCCGACCCTCTCACCTCACCCCCAGCCCACTCACCACCCAGCTGTCAGCTCCTGCACTCCCAGAATGAGGTCAGTCATCCTGCCCCAGCCCCATCCCAGGGCCCTCATGATTTATTTACCTGCCCCCTACACCAGGCTTTGTCCAAGGGAACCAGATCCCACCAGACGCCTGCCATCCGAGCTGGTGGCTCTGGCCTCCCTTGGCCACACGCAGCCACCCACTCATGTATTCCTTCTGCAAACATCTGAGGCTGGCCGGGACCCAGCCCCGGGCCAGCTGCTGGGCCACATGACAGACCCCACCTGCCCTGGGGACCCCACTCTGAGACACATCTAACTAGGGAAAGGGTCACCAGACAGTCTCCAAGTGCTTGGGGTACAGGACAGGCATTGGGGAAGCTTCGTGGAGCAGGTGAGGGGATGGGGAGACACTCCAGGCATTGCCTACCAATGTTTAACCCATGCCTGGCCCTGGGTGAGAGTTAGGGGCCCTAGCAGGGATCAACCATGAACTTGGAGGGTCCCAGGAGCTGGAACCCGGCAGGGTATGCTGGGTAGATGTCCTCAGTGGGGGATGGCTAGTAGCCTCTGGAGAGGGGGTATGGCTGGCTGGCAAGAGGTCAGAAAATTTCAGAGGGGCTGAATCTTCAGCAAACATTTGTCTAGCACCTGCCCTGTGCTTTCCCGGGTGCTGGGAACCAGTCCCAGCCTCCTAGAACTTTCCACCTGGTGGGAGATGCACATTCAGCAAACCAGAATTACAATGGCCGGGTAAGTACAGAAAAGGGCCAACAGGCTGTCAAGAGGGAACTCAGACAACCCCCTCAGTTCCCCTCCCACTGTGGAAGTTTTTCTGTCCTCTCAACAAATCCTGCTTTCAAAAAAAAGAAAAAAGAGGGAGATCTTGGCATGACTGGAGAAGTGAGGAACTGACGTGTGAGCCCAGACCAGAGGATGATGGGAATGGCTGAATAAGGGGGAGAGTGACCACACAGACAGAGGAAGGTGGGGTGAGGGTCTGAGGGTCTGAGGGCAGGCCGAGATTGAGAGCTGAATGCCAGTCTGAACAACACAGCGAGACTTTGTCTCTACAAAACAATCAACATACACCTGTCGTTCTAGCTACTTGGGAGGCTGAGGCGGGAGGATCATCTGAGCCTAAGAGGTGAAGGCTGCAGTGAGCTGTACTCATGCTACTGCATTCTAGCCTGGGTGACATGGTGAAACTCCAACTCAAATAAAAGAAAGACAGAGAGAGAGAGAGATGAGTGGACACTGGCCAGGGGGTCAAGGGAAGGAAAGGTTCATTGTCGTTCACAATGACTCAGCCTTTAGCTTCTATCATACCCTCTGCACTTGGAGATCAAGAGTCTCCAAGGCAGTGACATTCCTGCAAAAATTCCCATCCCAGAGATGGGAATTCTCCTGCTTCCTGCAAAATTGTAAAAAGGGCTTGCAGGCCAGGGTCCCCCATGCACATGCTGTGTGACCCTGGGAAAGGTATTTCACCTCGCTGAGCCTCAGTTTTATTATCTGAAAAATGGGGGTTGACCTACTATCTGCCTCACTGTCGTTATAAAAATTAAATGATAGAGGACCTGTCAGGTCCCTGACACATAGGACGGGCTCAAGAAATGGGGGGTACCACATGTCATGAACGATTCCATGTCCAAATAACCATCTCAGAAGGTGGGAAGTGGTGAGAGATGCATGTCCTAAAGTGCAATCCGAAGCAGTGGGGGGCATAACTGGTCAAGTACAGTAGATACAAGCTTCCAGTCAGGGAGCAAAGGCTTCATGTCTAAGTGGAGGAAAAAGGCTGGCTTGCAACTCCCTCCTGGCTTGTGTCCAATGAGCCCCTCTCTGGAGCATTCTTCCTGGTGCTCTCAACCTGCCCAGCCTGACCTACCTAAGCCGGGGTCCCAGCCCAAGTGTCCATGATAGGTGGATCTGTGGTTGTATTGATGGACAGACCGAGGAACAAATGGGTGGAAGGATGGTTCGTTGGTTAAAATGGATGATTGGATGGATGGGTGGATGGTTTGATGGACTGATAGTTAAATGGTGGTTGGTTGGAAGGATGGAGGATAGAGCAGAGAGGTGGGTAGACGGACAGGTGGACGGATAGTTGGGTGGGTGGATGGGAAGTTGAATGGGTGGATAGAGGGACAGTTGGGTGACTGACTGGATGGAAGGATGAGTACATATTGGACAGGTTGGTAGTACGATGGTTGGAGATGGATGAATGGATGATTGTGTAGATGGTTGGTTGGATGGAAGAATACATGGCTAGATAGGTGATAGATAGAAAGATGAGTAGATAAGTTGATGGGCTGGTGGTAAAATAGTAGGTAGATGGATAAATAGATGGTAGCATAGATGGTTGGCTGACTGGACGAAAGGATAAGTGGAAAGATGGATAAGTAGCCAGCTGGAGGATGATTGCATGGGTAAACGAGTAGTTGAATGGATGAGGAGATAAATGGATTGGTGGATGTTTTGATTGACAGGCGGTTGAATGTTTGACCTTTGGATGGATGAATGATTGGGTAGATGAGTCTACAGATGGACCAATGGATGGGAGTGGAGAACTGCTGGTAAAGGGCTTATACTCTTCATTAAAACAATTCATGAGGGTGGAGAAAATATCTTGTCAGTGTCTCTCATGGTGTCTGGTCCATTCATTGCCTGATATATACTAATCAATGCACGAATGAAGACTTATGTCTGTTGATTAAAGACAAAGATGCCAAATTTTGTAAAATATTTAAGAAGGTTTATTCTGAGTGACCTTGGCACCGTGCTAGGAGGTCCTGAGAATCTGTAACTGGGGTGGTTGAATTGAAGCTTGGTTATATACATCTTAGGAAAGTTATTTTTTAAAACCATAAATCAGTACATGTGAGATTTGCATTGATTTGACCCGGGAAGGCAGGCCATCTCGAAGCAGGAGCTTACAGGTCAGACGTGGATTCAAAGATTCTCTGACTAACAATTGGTAGCAAGAGTTAGGCTATGTCTAAGGAATGTTGAAACCCATAAAGGAAATGCTGCATTGAGACAAGGGGCAGTTTGAGGAAGTCAAGTTTTCTGTATGTAGATGAAACCTCATAAGTGGCAGCCATAAGAAAGGATACATGGCAAATGTCTAGCTTCTCTGGGGATCCCAGGAAGGGAATTCTAAACAGATGCAAATTTCCCCAAGAGATGCAGGTTCATAAAATATTTTTTTTCCCTTCTATATCTGTCATGTGTTATTAT